GATTTTCGCATCCAAGACCTGAGTATAGAGCTCCGTGTCCTGCAATCGTTTCGGCCTGGGTTCGAGTATCAAGTTCCGCACGAGGTTTTTGCGTTTGTTTTCGAACGCGCGGATGGCTGACCGGACGGCGTTAACGTCCCAGGTGTAATGCTCGGTTTGGAGAGCAGGATGCTTGAGGTACATCTGTAGGTCCTGGTATGCATCGCGTAATTCGTGGATCTTCGAGAAGACATCCGACTGGACAGTGACGGTTCGAGGAAGCTTGCAACGGTCGAGAGAGCTATTGAAATAGCGCCATGCATTGAGAAACCTATAACTCAAAGTCAGGAACTGAACGTACCTGTAATGGTACAGAATTCCATATCGCGGCGTGCCTTTTGGGTCTGTGAGGATGTTTGATAAAGCGGCAAGGGCATCCTGAGGGGAGAGAAGACCACTGGAAAGATGCGAAGCATCCGCAGAGCATCCATACGTTTCTAACATCACATGCAGGATACTGCAGTTCTTCGACCGAGATTTTGCGCTCGAATGGGCAGCTCCGGTTTTGAAGAAGTTTTCGACGAGTGTCTGAGCCTCAACTTCAACTTTATCGATCTTGCTCTTATCATTGACTCTAGACATATGGTTAGATCGTCGTTGACTCAAAACCAACGTCGAATACTCACCGACAGACAATCGCCATCCGACAACCATAGCCTCTTTGTCGTCCAGCAAGGTAATAATCACCATACCTTTCTCGAAACTCATCCTCCGACAATTGAGGCAACCCGTGCTGCAATCCAGCATCTGCTGGTACGAACTCCGGTTCGAACTCTCCAATCACCCTGTACTGTATCAACACCGTCGATGCCGACGCATTCTTCGACAAGAATGAGGAGATACGTGTGCTCATCGAGACAGAGGTAGGAGCGACGTTGATCGTTCCGCCGATCTCCATATCATACTGATCTCGCAAAGACTTGATATCATTCCAGTGTAAGGTATTGACGTAGGTCTTGCTCTGCTTGGGCCGTGGTGAACCGGACACTTTAAATGGCGTCAGTGCGGTTCGAGTCATCGACTCTCCGGTGAGAGCATCGACTCCAAAGCCTAATCGAAACGTCTCCGACCAGGGGACTTTGATTTCACGTTGGAGTTCGGTGCTGGCGCCAGGTCTCCAAACGAGTTTCTGAACGAAAAAGAGGTGTTAGAGACGAGGACGGTGAATTCGATGGTTTTCTCATGAGTATGTACCTGATGTTCGAGTGGGGGTTTGTCCTTCTTTGGAGCTTCCAAGCTGACAGTCCGACGATGCTTGTGGGGATCTTCGGGAGGCTTCAAAGTCTCAGGAGTCTTTGATCTTCCTGCTGGGTGTGCAGGTGCAGGTACTTCCAGGCTATCCAGTGGTTTGTTCGGTGTCGTTTTGCCAACTGGTTGGAGAATCTTCAATGTTTTGGAAAATTTGACCTTCACACGGATAGCATCTGGAGTCTAGAGATAACATGACTTGTAGAAGCGCGTAGTCAATGCAAGTTTGTAACGCACCTGGTGTGTCTTATCGTGGTCTGCCCCAAAGACAATCGTACTTCTGTCCTTCAGTAGAACAGACTTTCCTGCCGAGAGCTTTCCTGACGAGCTCGTCCATGTCCCGTATTTCGATCCCAGATCAGTGATGTATACCTGGATCCATGGATAAGACTCGACTCAATGTCGTGTTAGATGGAGACAAGCACGTACTTGCGTCCAATCGAATTTCAATTTTGCATGGTGGAAGTCAATTGTATTGAATGTGCTCCCAAAGAGCTTCCTCCCTATGGTCGATTCATTGGTCCAATTTCTGTTCACCGTGAAGCTCTTGGGTTTGTTCTTCGAAAAAGGCGGGTCTTCGCAGATAAACTCGATGCCTAGAGAGAACTGAGAATGTAGAACGATGCCTACCAGAAATATGAGCGTACCTTCCACTGTGACAAGTTCATTGCCCTTTTGTTGCATATCGTTGGTAGGCATAGCTCGATAAGCTGATGTTTTTCAACGTATAGCGTATTGGTGATCGTAGAACACGGATATGCACTGCATGAGGATTGCTTACAAAGTCATTCAATCTGTGCTAGTCATCTGCGCATTCAGTCTGGAGTGAAGTTGCGTTTAAAAAAGCTGTATCGATGCATCATCTATGAGGGAGAAGGCTGGAGTGGTGGTCGAAGTTTAGCTTAGTGCGACGTCACAATGAAGCGAGTTTTGGCGCTAGACTGGCGCCCATTCTTTCTTTCCGCATACACTCGCTCTAGTCACCATGCCCTTGAAGAACAGATTCAAGGCTTCTCAAACCCTCGTCCATGTTTTCTTCGTCCAGTAAACTGAAAACCACGACCTATTCCATCAAACGATTCCACTCGGTTAGCCTTCCCGTATAACAGGATCGCCCCATCTCCGACCTCAACTCTATCATTATGTATCTCCTCCAACTTCAGCCATTAGACCGCATCATCCGTGCTTTCCTCAGGATATCTGACAGAAATCTGCTCTGGACCTCTTGTAAACTTCTCTCTCAGGCCTTCAAAGTTCAGACTTCAGCTGACTGGGAAACCAGCTGACTTCATTTCCTGGAATCCATTTGTAAACGAATTGATATAGTGGCGATTGTATAGTCTATACTGACATATCGCATTTAGCACCAACCACCATGTCCACGAAGCACATCTACAACTCTTCAGACGGATTAGTGGACAAGTCTCTCCAGGGTGCAGTTGCTTTGAATCCGTCTCTTCGCTTGTGAAGTTCTTTTTCCCTCATCCTGGCTTGGCTCACAACTCAATCGGTTGGTTCCGATTAGACATCAAGCCTCGAAATCAGTCTATGTATACCCTCCTTCCCAACAAGCAAAGGTTTCTGTGATATCCGGTGGCGGAGCAGGCCATGAACCTGCTCATGCATCATACACTGGCTACGGAATGCTCGCCGCTTCCGTTTCAGGCGAGATCTTTGCAAGCCCCAGTGCTAAGCAGATCCTCTCCACCATCCGCCTCGCTGCGTACCCCGGGGACGATATACATCCGAGAAGGAACACCATCACAGACAGATCCGCGGTCCATATGCCTCATAGGAAAGACGTCCTCGTTATCATCAACAACTATACTGGGGACCGGCTCAATTTCGGTCTTGCGATAGAGAAGGCTCGGGCAGAAGGAGTTCGGATTGACAGTGTCGTCGTGGCTGACGATGTTTCCTTGCTTCATTCCGAAAGTTCCAGTCTCGTCGGACCACGGGGTCTTGCCGGTAATATCCTCGTCTGCAAGATCCTAGGTGCCCTCGCGGAAAGAGGCTCTTCTTTGGAGAATCTCAAACGAGCAGGAGATACGGTCGTTTCTCACCTCGCAAGCATCGGTGTCGGGCTGGAACATTGCCATGTACCTGGTAGTATTGCTTCTAGTGCGACGATGGACGAAGACGAATGCGAAGTGGGATTGGGGCTCCATAACGAACCGGGCGTACGCCGTATGAAGATTCAGGACTCGGTAAAACTGGTGGACGAAATGGTAGGAAAACTCTTGCGTTCACGAGGTGTCGTCGACGGAGGCAGAGATAGTTTCATCCAGGAGGGTGATATCACGGTCTTGTTCGTCAACAACTTGGGCGGTATATCCCAGTTGGAAATGGGTGCTCTCATGACCGACATTCTTGTCAGACTCTGTACGTATCTCACCCCATCTCAACATAGAATATTGACCATTTCCCAGCTCTCTCTGACATACACCCCGTTCGGATATACAGCTCGTCGTTCATGACTTCCCTAAACGCTCCCGGGTTTTCCATCTCCCTTCTCAATGTGTCCGCTGTCCATCGGGCACCCCTTCTTTCTGCTGTTTACCATCCAATTGACGTTCTCGGGCTGTTGGATGATCCCACCGAAGCGCATTCTTGGCTCGGGACCCGGCGGTTTTGGCCTTCCGATGGCCGAAGAGACTGGCGAGGACAGCAACGCGCTACTGATAAGGTGTTGTCGTTGATGACGCCAGGGAGCGGAACAACCAAGGCGCAAGCTGAAGAAACTTCCACGGAGGTGACATATTGGTCGCAGGTCCGTTTATCGCCGGAGAAGGTGAAAGCTGGGATAGTAGGAGCTTGTAGAGCTGTGATTGAGGGGGAAGCGCTACTGACCGAGTACGACACTATCGTAGGAGACGGCGATTGCGGTATGACATTCTCTCGTGGAGCGAAAGGTGTGCATAGATCTGATATATTCACGAAGCTTTACTAAACTTTTATCATAGCAATCCTGTCTGCTATTGAGACGCGACAAATCGAGGTCAGAAAACTATCTCCGGGTCGATTGGTTCACCGCGTTGGCGAAATCCTCGAAGACAACATGGGTGGAACAATTGGAGCGCGTACGTATGTTCTTATCCTGTAGCGTCACTCAATGATTTCCATCCTTAACAGTATTCGCCATCTTCTTCACTGCCTGGGCATCCGCGATCGAACGCATGATCCATCCTTCGCCGAGCGCCTTTGCTCCTGTACACCTCATGGACACCCTATCTGATGCCCTAGCCTCGCTCTCCCACCACACACCCGCGAAACCTGGTGATCGGACAATCATGGACGCGTTGTATCCGTTGTGCCATACTACTACTACATCTCCGTCGTCACCAAGGAACAGGGAGGTAGAAGACACAAGGTCGAAACATACCTCATCGTCATCTCATACCGATCGGTCAGATCAAGATCAAGACAACAGCTCTGATATGATCGAAGAAGCATGTCGTCGAGTTCACGAGGGGGCCTTGAGCACGAAAGGGATGAAACCTCGACTAGGAAGAGCGGTTTATGTGGAAGTGAAAGAAGGGCAGGAGATTCCTCCTGACCCAGGTGCGTGGGGGATCACTTTGCTTGTTAAGGGGTTTGGGGATGGGTTTCGTGAATGAGACAAGACAAGACAGATACTGGATAGATGTAGGTAGGCGAAGTTCCTTCCTTCCTTCGGCTATGTACTCCATTCTTCACTCCTCCAATTTCCTCAAGCCTTCTTAGCTCAGTGGTAGAGCGTTGCACTTGTACACACGTGACAGCACGTGACATATGCAAAGGTCAGTCGTTCAATCCGGCTAGGAGGCACTCATGTGTCACTACTTCCTTTTTTCCTGCTCTTGATAATTATAGCTTTCCTCTTTTTCGCTATTCATCGAGACTACGAGATGCTGATTATTGAGAGTTTGAGCTTGAGCCTGATGGCTCGCAAACTGAGCCAGATGTCCACATATTGAAGAGTCCGTTGTTGCCCTGTATGATGTACTACCACTAACCAACAACTTTCCACTGATATCTCATACAAGTACGTTCAAATAAGATTGGAGTGTTTGGCCTCCTCGATTGCTTACGTTCAAATTCAGATATAAGCACATAGGGAAAGGGAAATGGGAACCCATCAATCAGGTCAAGATGTACATACGGTCATTTACCAGGCAGGCGGTTGGCCAGCGCTCTCTGAGCATCGGTTCTTTCAGGCAACGCTTGTCCACGCTCGAGAGCCAGTGCATATATATGATCGTCAAGTTCTCCCAAGTCTTGAACACTGACTTTCAAGATCATGGCTTGATCAAGCTCGTCAACGTGTGGTGTATTGTGCGCAAGTCGCAGATCATCCACCAATACGCCAGTGGTACTGTTCTTCCCTTTGCGTTGCGAGAGTCTGCTGCCGCCAACGTTTGCCAACGGCCTTTGGTTCGGAACCACAGCAGCTTGACTTGAGGACACTAGTCAGATTAGGATATCATAGACCAAAAACTTGAACCTACGAGTTGGCGAGACTCGGAGGGGTCACAGGCTCTGTCGCTTTCTGGGCTGCACCGGTGATAATGGGGGGACGAGGTCTGCTGCCCCCAGCTTTTTCTGGCGACAGCTTTTGATTGGGTACCACAGCGACGTTACTTGGAGAATCACTAGTCAGATAAGGATTTCATGGGATGATCAAAACCTTGAACCTACACGCCGGATTGGGGGGTGAGCTTCAACAAGGCTTTCTGTGCAGCTGTCCTCTCGGGCAACGCTTGGCCACGCTCAACAGCCAGAGCATACATACGGTCATCGTGTGCTGCTAACTGTTTGACGCGGATTTCTTTGACACGGTCAGAATCGATAGCACGCTGTAGGCTGTGCCCAATCTGCAGATCCTCGAGCTCAACCGCGTTCTCTTGTTCGAACAGTCTGAAGGCATATTCTTCATCAGGCAAAGGAGTCCCTCGGCGGGCATCTCCTTTGCGAGACACCGAGCGGTCTCGGATTTCGTCGAGAGTGAGCTGGGAGTTGAGGAGGTAGGAGAGGGCCATGGTGAGAGTAGGGAAAGAATGACGAGTACACGAACAAGTTTTTGTGGCAATATAAGTACTTGAATTCGAGTCTTGTATCAGAAACGACTCAGAACTTGAGGCGGTTCTGTAGAAACGTGTTTGACAGCTTCATGTTCCGATAAGGTATCCCAGATAATTGGCAAAGCATTTGGACCTACTGATTTGGAGTTGCGCCATGTAATAGTACAGTAAGTACCAGATATGTATGCGATAAAGACCATTCATTTCATCCACCAGACCCCGCCCACAAAGAGCCTCATGTATAGGAGAGTTCCGAAGCAACACCGATAGGAGACTAGATGATTGCGGTGAGCTGAATGATAGCTTTGCATTTTGGACGATTCGGCTGCGACCTTTCCTTGTGCGTGCGAGATCACAGGGTTGTCTTCTGCAAATTGCTCCTCCACGATGAGACACGGATGAGGGAAATCCTGGACAGGCCTCCACTACATAAAACACATGAAGAATGTCCGACGAGCATCGATATGACGGAGTCAAGCCAGTTCTGGACAAACTTTAGAAGGGTGTATCAGAGTTGGAAGACGATACGAAAATAGCCCACAAAATTGAGGGGATTACGGGCAACGAGGCTTCCGAGCAAATCCAACCATTTCCGAGTCATCCTCCAGGGCGATTTGACTGAAGAGGGAATGAAAATTCAGTTGGAGATGCCGGAATATGTAGACGTTTCAACTTCACCTGGATTTCCAGTTGCTACTTTCAACCCCATCACTGTCCTCCTACAGTTCTGTTAAACCAAAAGATAGTGTGTATTATAGCCAAGGCTCTGGTACCCACTGCGTTGGAATTGAAGAAGAGGACCCGTGATACATATTATTCAGAGTTGATGCCTGGAATTGTTGCGAAGTCCTCGCAAACAAGGAGGGTATGGCCTGATTGTCATTGAAAATTTCCGATCCGCATTCGGAGTGAGTAGATTGATCCGTTTTCTATGCAGGAGATCATGAATTTGTTCGAGTACTACTCAGGTATGTAATGCTCATTCCGGAAATTAGCGACGAAACCCAGTCAGCTCCACTGACGATGAAGTGACAAATTGACGCATAGTGACCAATGTGGTGGTGGTGGTGGTGAAGAAATACCATCGGTGAATGTTGAGAGTAGGTGTAACGCTCCTGGAAGTCGCGCAGATATTCGTCCAACGATGGGATTATGACTGATTATGAGCACTCTTTGGTTGAGTCAATATGGTACGCACGACGCTCATGAGTCTCAGTAAAGTGTCCATTCCGGACGTCGCCAGGAATGTCTTTGAAAGGAACTTGAATCTTGGTTGAGGTTGGCTTCGACAACGTGACGGATTAAACGAAGTGGTGATCTGTGGCGATTCAGGACCCCCGATATTACCACTAGGCGCTCCGATCCAGAACCGCCGAATTTTGAGAATTTCTGGGCCAATGTATGGTGCAATTTCGCCGAATTTTGACCCATTTTGGACCATTTGTCCGATGCCAAAACCGCCGAATTTTGCAGTGGGTAGCCGAAGTCTGATGCTTTCCGCCGAATTTTTTACTCCAAGATGGTGGAGCTCCAGGGTAAGTGGTTCAGCAACTTCATGTATGAAGGAAAATACAAGATATGTAGAGCTTTGCAATTATTCTCTGCCTGCGACACAGAGGGCTCCTTACGCTTCGCGTTCAAGTTCAGTTTCGACGGTCCACTGAGCAGTACGAATTTAAGCGCGCTCAGCGCTAATTTTAGGTCTCATGCTATTTTCCGCCGAATTTGAGCCATGTTGGTATAGGTCCGACGAAATTCGCCGAATTTGGACCCCAAAAAGGCCCAAAAACGCGCCGAATTTTGCTTTTTCTGGATCGGAGCTCCTTGAGGCAATATCGGGGGTCCTGGCGATTCCCACGTTCAGTGCAATAGTCTATAGAGTGCAATAGAACTTCTTAGGAACTTTGCGCAATTCATGGCCCTCTCTCTTTCCAACCACGACTGCTCGACAACTGCTCTAGATTCTGCATCTCATGATTATGATACACGTCGAGCACATACTTTAACGAAGGCTATCATGACTTAGACGCGTCATGACCGTTGTGTGTTCTTGGCTCTTCTGCTTAGGGTACGTGAGCAGTCCAACCAGCGCTTAGTTCTTGACATTCTCCGTATAGGCTGCAGCAGAGTTGTGTTCGAGCAATCTTCTACCACAATTCCGAGATCCATGCCCTCAGATTCCTCACTCTCCTCACGGTCACAACAGCAACAACACGAACATCCCTATACGACAACATAAGAGGTGGCGAACACGATGTTTGTCATGCTAGTACGGAACCTCTGATCTATAAAGGACTATAAGCAGTATCAGAGCTTGTAGAAGATCGATCCAACACGAGGTTCGGATACCGTATGTCGTTTCGACCAATGAACGATTCGCGGAAGAATTCAAGCAGTACGTTTCGGACTCTGCCATTTTGTTCTTGAGAATCTCATGCATATGCTATCAATATCAGGCGTGATTCTGTTCTCGTTAGCTCTAAGCTCGAATGTGGTGTCATACCCCGAGAGCACTGGTCTCGACCATTTTGGACTACCAAGGAAAATACTGCGAAAGCTCGCAAATAGACGGTAGCCACCGATGTCGAATATGGAGGTATGCTAATGTTCGCATTTTGGTCCAGTGTTAGTTGCATTCTGGTGAACAGGTAGTGCTCTTTACCGCAACATGAGTCAATTCAACTCTGCAGTCAGTCAAGCGTATTACCTATCAATCATCCATTGATGTCGAACAACAATGAAAATTCCTCTACATGCTCAACTTGGGTCTTATTTCTATCTCCATCTGTTCGCGCCGATTAGAAGTCTCTGGCCGACTGTCACAGGTACGAGCTGACATCTACCTGGCTATCTCAAACTTCTCTTACGAATTGCTTGGGCTTTGTCGAACATGATCCCGAAACATCGCCACGGGTCTTATTCCAGATGACCATGGGAAGACATACAATTAATGTCACTGTGCATTGAACTTTTAGCTATGCTTCGTCGTTATCATCTTCTGTCCCTTCGAATCCAGTCAACTAACTCCGAGTTCGCCGACGTGGAGTTTTTGGCGTGGAGAAGCATATACTGCGTTTTCGACCTAGAATGTTGAACAGCCCAGCATCTAGATGCAAGTAGTACCCCGAGGTGAAGACCCGCTTGTTGCTGTACTTATCAGCAAGCTGTTCAAGAATTCTAGGCTCATCATAGCGCCGGGGAAACACACCTGTTCATAGCACATAGCATCGCCATTGCGTTGTTTCTCAATCAAGGGATCAGATACATTCTTTGACGAGATAGGATATCAACATGACGACTGGAATTTGGGGTTATTGTCCCATTGCGAATGATGTATGGGAAAAGGGTCGGTGCTCCCACTCACAGAAAGGCAGTTTGGTGAGATCTGATTCATGGTGTGTCACTTAGTCTCCCGAGTCAGTCTCGTAGACTGATGATCTTAGAGAGATCATGTGGCAAGAGACGTTGCTATCAATCCAGATGATGCGCCTTTTACCAGCTTTTACCCAACAGTCGATTTGCATGATCTGAGTTTCTGCAACTTGCAAGCCTCATTGGGAGTGCTCTATGAAAGCGTACGCAGAGCATCTCGATTCTCAATTCTTTGTGGTACTAATTTGAATGAAGATGGATGACTATAATGAAGTTTAGAAAAGCAGCTTGACCGAAATTGTTCTGTATACATACGTGGTACAGGCCGCTCAGCTTGGAAAAGCTTGGAAATTGCTCATCATACAGATTCAAGCG